AATTGATCAGGACCCCATTTCAAAAAATAAATGCACTTATTACAGTGTTTTTCTCTTTGCAGAGGAGGTGGGTAGCAGGTAGGAAGGTATGAGCTTGAGCCTGAGTCTGCACTTATCTCCTCACATCTGTTTATCTTATACCTCAAAAGATCTCACCCTTCAAAAGATCTCATGGCATTCTGGGGGGCCTTGGCACCCTGGTTGAGAACCACAGCATGATGCTACAGCAACAACTACAAGGGCTTCTAAGCTAATAGCTCTGCAAAAGTGACTATTTGGAAGACCAGGTTCACCAGCAGCCTGTCAGCCAAGCTGGCATGAGTAAAACAGGGTTCTAGTTGAACCTTGACTGTGCGTCACTGGAATTTCATTGAAAACCATGTTTCTGCAAAAATATTCCGTTTGAGGAATTGACGTTTTTCACATTAAAGCAGAATAGTTGGAAAAATCCAAACTAGAGCTAGTGCTGACATGCACTAGAAACATGACAGCAAATGTCTAAATGCTAACAACTTTTCCAAGACCCACAAAGCAGCTTGTTGCCTCATATTGTTGCCCACTACAGTTTCTGCTGACACTCAGGTATGCTATTTTCTTTCAGTGGAAACTCCCTCCTTAGCATTGCTTCTCTCTTACCATACTTTCACCAGATATGACAGTCAATCATAACAGAGTCATGAATTTCCTCTTGATAAATCTGTGCTGAGTAGATAACAGTTAGTTCTTGAATATTATTCAAAATGGTAAGAACACAAAAAGATCAAAAGGAAGATGTTCCACCACTCAGTGAGACAAGAGGAACAGTCTTCAGTTTTTCTTCCTAAGTATATCACCTCCCCTGGTATGTCACTTCATTCCTATTACTTAAAGCAGGGTTCAGTAAGCTATAGCCCCTGTGCTAAATCCCACAAAGAGGTTGGATCTAGCCCATGAAGGCCCAATCTGGACTGGGGCAGCAATGAGAATCAAGCAGAATAGAGCTGCACCAAGCCACTCATACTCTCTGCAGCATCCCACCCTCCCTCCCCTCCCCACAACTTTATGCCTATGTTTACCTTCACTCTAGACAGCCTTGGTATCTGTAATGAAGTTAATGGCAGGTAAGGTGGGTGCTTGGAGAGACAGAGATTTGTCACCCAGTAGTCCACGGCAGTGGGTTGGGTCAGAAACTCCAGCCTGCAGCAGCAAAAAATTGCCAACCCTTGCCTTACAGCATAGGAACCCAAATCATGGTAAGGAACCCATTGTTCCAGGCACTATAGAAACACAACAAGAAGAGAGTCCCTGACCCCAAGAGCTTACAAGCCAAATATAAAACCAGAGACAACAGACAGATAAAGTTAATGGGGGGTAGGAAGTTGTAGTAGTATATTACCAGATTTTTGTAGGCATCACGGCAAAAGAGAATTTTAAGGCAGGATCTAAAGGAAGTATCTGAACAAAGCATCTAAAGGAAGGATCTGCACAGTCCTACACTTAGGACGAAACAATCCCAAGCACCGGTACAGGCTGAGGCCTGCCTAGCTAAGGAGAAGCTCTGAAGAAAAGGACCTGGGGGTTATAGTGGGAAATAAGCTGGATATGAGCCAGCAGTGTGCTCTTGTTGCGAAGAAGGCTAACAGTATACTGGGTTGCATTAGTAGGAGTGTTGCCAGCAGATCAAGGGAAGTGATTCTTCCTCTCTGTTTGGTACTGGTGAGGCCACATCTGGAGTACAGTGTCCTGTTTTAGACCCCCTGCTACAGAAGGGATGTGGACAAATGTGGACAAACTGGAGAGTCCAGCAGAAGGCAACAAAAATTATGAGGGGGGCTGAGGAACATGTCTTATGAGGAGAGGCTGAGGGAACTGGGCTTATTTAGTCTGTAGAAGAGAAGACTGAGGGGGGATTTAATAGCAAACTTCAACTACCCTGAAAGGTGGTTCAAAAGAGGATGGAGCTAGACTGTTCTCAGTGGTGACAGGTGACAACAAGGAGCAATGGTCTCAAGTTGCAACAAGGGAAGTTGAGGTTAGATATTAAGAACAACTTCCTCTCTAGGAGGGTAGTAAAGCACTGGAACAGGTTACCCAGAGAGGCTGTGGAATCTCCATGCCTGGAGGTTTTTAAGACCTAGCTAGACAAAGCCTCGGCTGGGATGGTATAATTTGGGATGGTCCTGCTTTGAGCAGGGAGTTGAACTAGATGCCCTCCTGAGGTTCCTTCTAACCCAAATTGTCTATGATTCTATGATTCTAAGATGGATAAAGAGGTTGCTCTGTGGATGTTCACAGGGGACTCTTCCTAAGCATACCGGGTTGCACAGGAAAAAGCAGGAAGATACATGTTTGAAAATTAAGAAAAACTGTGTAGGCTGGCATCAGGCACTAAATAGAGAGGGAACTTGACCTCTCAACATCAAATGAAACATGACAGATACAGAGAAGACAAGTCCTTTATATTTGATGAGATGGAGAAGAAGGAGCCAATGGAGAAATGCAGAAAGAAGAGCAACGGAACCAAAGCAATAGAGAAGAAAAGTGATCTTTGAAGCAGCATTCTGAATGGCTGTATTTAGGGCAATCCTAATTGTCAGGGCCGGAGAAAAATATGTTCTAATAGGTTTGATATGAGCCAATGAGATTGTACACAAGAGTTTTAGCTGTGTGGATGGATAGGAAAGGTTGTTTAACTGAGCAAGGACAAACATACTTATACCATTGGGTATACCCACTAGTCAACACAAGTCAGCTGATCTAGTTTAAATGTTTCATCTGTGAAGATATAACTGCAGTAATTTACCCCGAATGAAAAAGAGCTAGGATAGACAAATAAAACAATAGCACTTGATTCAGCTGTACTTCAGTATGTCTCTCTTCCTTTTGAAATGGTGCAACTCTTTTGTCTATACACCCTGTACAAGTTTTATGCAGAAACAATCTGCAAGACAAATGTAAATCAGGATGCAAAGACTTATTAGATAGGTCCAAGCTGAAGATGAGGTCCAAGTAATTGGCAGGATAATAGTGTTATCAGCAGTGATTAAGAAAGAAATTAGCAGGAAATGTTTGGGTGTGTGGGTATAAAGGAGGCATATAAATCTCTGTTTTAGTTCAAGGTCAACCTGGATGGCAGCTAGACAACCATAAGGAGATTTCAGAAAGATGTGTCAAAATTTTAGTTTGTGCAGAAGGAGACAGGTCAGGAGTAGAGAGACAGATTTCTTAAATATGGTAGTTACCGTTTACATTTAGAGCAGCTTACCAAGAACTAAGATATAGAGGAATAGGAGAAGGGGACCAAACTTTGTGGAACCGTCACACGAAGTTGCAGGAGTATAAAGCAGACTCTTCAAAGGCCAGGCTGAAGGAAGGAAAAGAGCTCAGGGAGGCCAGGCTCATAAAAGCCAAGGAATATCTCAAGAAAAGCATGGTTTACTGTACTGAAGCAGAAGAAATATCAAGGAGTAAAGGTTCTAAGCTTTGTCCAAGAAAAGATTTGTTTAGCCATTTCAGTATTTATATAAGACATATTACTTATTTTTCTAATAATTGATCATAACAACCATATACATTTAAAAATTAGACTTCAAAGCAGTCCTTTGAAGAAAAGCATTCTCATCCTATTATGCCGCAGGGGCATATTAGACTGCAAACTCATAGCAGCAAGGACCTTTTTTATTTGTAAAGTCCTAAAGCACCTTAGGGATAATAACATTTGAAAATTATTAATAATCACTATTAATAAATAAAGAGCTGCTATGTTGGTAGAATTCTGCAGTCAAATATGTGCAGTCTAATCTCATCAACGTCTGGGAAAGAACAGTTGTGGATGAATAGAAAAAAAGAATCATACCAGCTACACTACCAAAACAAGATGTTAGAGAACTTTAAAATAAATGTATTATCTCATTAATATAAGGTCCCATTGTAGAAAGTAAAATCTTAATATATATTTTTTAAATGACTTGATTTAATATTAAGACCATTGTAAAATATAGTCTTTAAATCTATTTTGACTCTTCATGTTGCATAACAGACTGGCTCCAGGCAAAGGCAACATTTAATATTGTATGACCAATCTGCCCCATTACCTAATGTGGTAAACAAAGAGGCACACAAGCATGTGGGGGGTGGAGAGTAACAAAAAGATAATCACATTGACATGGAAAAAATAGGGGTCAGTTCATAGGAATTCCATTATACATTCAACAATGACTAATTCTGCTAGTTACAATACATCAATGTACTAGTCATAGCATCTCCAAGTTTTCAATATTGTAGTCTCACAGACAACTAACTGAAAGAAATAGGATTAATTATTACTGAGTGCGTTGGTGGTCAAAATTCACATTAAACACACAAAAAGTAACTGTATATTTGGACTTTCCAAATAAAAGTAAGTTATTTAGCTTGGGCCCCCCCCCCCCCCCCCCCCCCCACTGTTGGCTACTACAGTTGGGCTGGATTTACCAAGATCTACCATAGTATACTGAACTTGCCAGCTAAGACTTATATACTTTCCTGAACCCTGAGAGAGATCTTAAAGAATCAGTCCTTGAGAATTTAATTGGGTGAATGATCAGATTTCATTGCCTGAGAGGTTGTGTGCAGGGTTTTAAGAAGATTATTTCATTCATAAATCAGATTAAAAATGAGGATGCATTTTAATCTCACCACTGTTTTATAATTATTTCAGTACTGGCCCCAACCCAGAAAATGTTGCCGTATGGAACCCCCTGCATCTTGATGGTATTTCAAAATGCAGTATTTCCACTTTTGAAAAATCTAAGTCAATGAATTGGTAAAATCTGCCACCTACTGGTCAAGCAAAATATTATTTTTAGAGCACCACATTGAAGACTGTAACATAAAAGCTGCAAAATGTGCTTATACTTTGTAAAAACCCAGTATTTTCTTTATAACAAGAACAAATGGTTATAAAAAAACAGTTTCAACAAAATCCGTTTTAATCATCTGTTCCCATCCCCAGAGTACTAGTAGGCTGTAATTGCACAAACCTGCCAATAAAATCATCCCTCTTGCCAGCATCTTTGTCCCACACAGTAATATCAATAATTCCACCTCTCTCTTCATAGAGATGAAAGTCAAACTGCTCTCTCCACTGAGGATTCAAAGTTTTTGGCACAATCTAAAAGGAGAGTAAAGAAAGTCATTATTGCATTGTACAGCCATGTTCTTTCTTGAACAGTAAAATTAATCTTTGGGTTCTGCCCAGAAAGTATTTTTCATGCAATTAATAGCTTTAATAGGGAGACTTTTTAAACATTTTTTTTTAAATGAGGCCACTGATCAATGTCTTGATCCTGTTTGGGCAAATCATCTGCCTCCAGGATCTCACAGCTCTTCACCACTGGAAATCTCTAGGAACAATGGATTTGTCCTGGGAACTGAACCATTTTTCTCTAGACTAATGATTCTTTGTCCTGAGTGACAGGTAAGTGACAAAGTTGTCTTTCTAAAACAAAGGCAGAACAAAACACCTTAAGAAGACAAATAGATGGATACTGAAAACACTTAACCGGGACCTGAAGTTCACCAGATCTGCACCATCTCTTCTTCTTTTCCCAGTCATTATTATGCTCAGGGAAAATTAATTTACCAAGATAATTTGTTGTTTGTTTATTTAATTATAGGAGCAGACTGAGAGAGGTATTTTTAAAAGTGTAACCTCCTTTCCTTGTGCAATGCAGATAAAATGATATAGCTGGAGTGGTAATATTCATACCAGTTACCTCTAAAATGTCATAGCAATCCTGAGTAGAGGCCTTTCTAGAACAAAAGGTTATCTAGTCTCCTCCATTAGAGTTCAATAACAGTAGTAACTCCAGAATTGAGCCAGAATGGAAGCTGGCCCAACACATTCTTTATAAGTCAATACATAATTTTAATGATTTATATAAAAGCAGGGCTGAGAAGGACCTCCAAAGGTCATCTATTCCAACCCCCTGCTTGAGGAAGGATCACCCCTATCCAAATCATCAGGTCCAATCAGCCCCGTCACACAACTATTAGGCATATTGCCCCAAAACACCAACAACACCCTAACCTGCCACAGGAAAGCAAGGGGATGAGGGCTATCAGTGTACAGCTCTTGTAAGGGTTGCTAAAATACCCTTGAGAGATCCATCCTCCCCCATTACTACAGAGAAAGGCAAAACCCCCCACAGCACATACTAATTTGACAATGGAGTAAAGTTCCTTCTTGATCCAAAATATGGTGGTCAGTCTGACCCTAAACAGAAGGGCAAAACCCTCTAATCAGAACCTCTGGGTTTTAGTCCCAGTAAAACCACTGGCATACCCACCCAAATCCTCAACCTTGGCTGCAGTCAAAACAAAAGCTTATAAAAGCAATCCCTTTTCCTCCTTCCCTGCTTCCACGCCAGTAGCAACAGGTGGGGAAAAATTCCTTCCCCACTTCATGTGGCCACCAGCAAAGCCCACAAGCATGGGAAAAAACAAATACTCTATGAGCTGGGGCCAGCAAGCACAACTCCACACATATCATCCCCTATCTAGGTAGCCAGAACCCCTCTCTCAGTACCCCCTCCATAAGTTTATCCCACATTCTTTAATCTTTCATAACTAAGCTGGTTGTGGAGCTCTGCTTCATTATCCTGCTGCTGTATATGGTCTTCTCCAATATCCACCCAATCTGGACTGCAGAACTCTTTTCATGATCTCCCAGTGATCTATGTGGGTGTGGGGGGATCCTGGACTTCTATTTAAAGAGCACTGCAGGCATTACTTCTCCTATATCATCCCTGACCAATGCTTATATAACCTCTTCTTGAAAACCTCCAGTGATGGAGATTCCACAATGTTCCTAGGCAGTCTGTTCCACTGCCTCACCGTTCTAACAATGAAGATTTTCCTGATAGCTAATCTAAGCCTACTTTGCCGGAACTTCAAGCCACTGGTATACATCCTGCTGTCTACAAACAGGAGAAATGTGTTCTTCCTCTTCTTTATGGCAGCCTATAATGGAGTGGGAAGGGGGTCAAGGACCCCTGTAACTTTCCCTTTTAAAGAGCAGCAGGCCAGGGCTGCAATATGTTGCCAGCAGCTGAGGGAGGACCACCTGCAAGAAATTGAGCAAGCAAGGGAGATAAAGACAGGAATAGCTGAGCTATAAGCAGTGGTTGGGGGGGAAAGCTGCTTTACAACAAGCTACAAGCACAGTAGTTAAATAGTTTCTAGGGGTCGGAAGGGACCTGAACAGATCATCTAGTCTGACCCCCAAGTTGTGAAGAGCAACTGAGGAGACAGCAGTAGGCAAGAGCAGGCTGATTAGTGGGCTAAAAGGAAACCTCTCTGCCCAGTTTTGGAGATCATGTGACTGGAAGTGGTGACGCCCAGGGTACTAGAAGCCTGATTTCTAGGCCACAGAGTCAGTCTGGTCCTGAGTTCTGCAGATGGAAGCTCTTATAAACCCAAGCTGCTGGAGAGGGGAACACCAGCAAACACAGGCATCCAGAAGAGCTGCAGGGTGCCAAATGATAGAGGGTAGGAGTTTGTGGTGACTCAGAAGGGTGCAAGCATTTTGCTAAGGAACAATTTCTTTGATAGCTGTTAAAGCTGTAAATCATAGGTGTGGCTGAAGGGGAGGCAGGAGACCAAGGTGGAATGCTACCTGTGTTCTACTCTCTGCTTGAAGCAGCAGGCTTAGAGCCTAGGTAGGACCACTGGTCAGGGCGAAGGCTAGTGTGGGAGAGCAGGACCAGTAGGAATAGACCACAGTGGATGCCAATCAGGCACTAAGCATTTTAGTTGTGGACCTAGAGCCCAGTGGATAGGACTGTACGCGAAGATTGGAAGCGACTCAAAGGGAGGTAGAAAACCATGGAGGGAGGTAGTGGGTGCTCAATGTTCTGAGTTGTGGGCTAAGGGCCTGGTGGATCGAGGCAGGGCTGACCAGGCAGTCCAGAGGACTGAGTTGGGGAGCTAGATCATGGAGATAAGTGAGCAATTTGCTTAAGACTGAGACTAAGAAGAGGTGGCCTGCTCAGGACATGGACCAAGAGCCCAATGATGAGCAGGGCAGAGTAAAGCACCTCAAGGCTCACTCTGGTTTCGGAGGGTAGCTTCTCAAATTTATATCCATTTTTTCCATCGAGTTGTGGCAGGAAAGGTAGCAGAGCGGTACCCGGGAAGGCCAGAGTGGGAGAAAATTGAACAAATGTGGTCACTAGGGGGTGTCAACCCTCTAACAGTGAGTCCTTCCATGCAGCCCTTCAGATGTTTGAAGACTGCTCTTACTTCCCCTCTTAACTGACAAGCTGAACATACCTATTTATTTCAAACTCTCTTCATCTGGCTTGCCTTCCAAACCTTTTATCATTTTTTTCACCAATGTCTGGACCCTCTAACTTTTCCACACCCTTTTAAAAGTGTGAAGCCCCAAACTGCACATAATACTCTACATTTGACCTAACCCACACCAAGTAAAAGGCACTATCAGCTCCCATATCTTGCACCTAATGGGTGCCTATAGATGTACAGTGAGGCTGCTCCAACACACTGTAATTACAGCACATTGAAGCAGACTTGATTAATCCAGTCTGCTGGAGTGTGGTAATTATCATGCTCCAACAGACTCCAGCTTCATATGCATCAGTCCCTGTGCTGAAAAAAGGCAGCGGGAGCACTTTAACTAAAGCTCATTCAACCCCTCTTAAATGGCCCATGTGATGCTCCAGGCACTTTAATTACAGTGGCTTTCAGAGCTGCTCTAATTAAAGTGCTCCCCCCACTCTCAGAGCACATGTATAAGCACCCTAAGTTCTTACTGATGCACCCCAAAACCATATTCACCATTTTACAGCTGCATCATAGTACAAACTCATATGGGTCTGTGATCCACCAAGACTCTTAAATCTTTTTCTGTAGTGCTGCCATGTAGCCACATGTCACTCATTTTGTATATGCCTTTTTGACTATTCTTCCTGAAGTATAGCACCTTGCATTTGTCAGTACTGAACTTCAACCTGCTGGCTCTAACTCGGCTTTTCAATCTATCAAGATCCTTCGGAATTTCACTCCTGTTCCAGTATGTTCACAATCCTTCCCAGTTTTATGTTGTCCAGTAAATTACCAGGTATTAAGATTAGGTAAATTGGTCTGTAATTCCCTATGTCTACCTTTTCTCATTTTGGCCCTCTTGCAGTCCTCTAGTACCTTGCCTGTCTCCCCTGACTTGGGCAATATTATGCCCCAAGATTCCCCTCTGCCATTAGTACCTTAGTATGATTAGACCCTGCTATCCTTACTTTCTTTATACCAGTGGTTTTCAACTTTTTTTCTTTTGCAGACCCCTTAAAAATTTTGAATAAAGATATGGACCCCTTTGGAAATTTTGAACGAAGGTGCAGAGCCCTTTGAATTGTAAGTGTGGGTATTCACATACTTTTGATTGATCATAGTCATCTTTCACAGACCCCTTAGACATAGTCTGTGGACAGGGTTTATCTGTATATTTAGAGAACTGGACTTGATAGCGCAGGGGTACCCTTCCAGTCCTATCTTACTATATGGGATTGCATTTCAAGTCCAATTATTAAGCATAGTTATACAGACATTTCCAAAGAACAGCTCTACTTGTTCACCTCGGACCTAGAATAGTGTTTGTTTTTTTCTGAGCAAAAAGCCAAGGCTACAGAAAATAGTACTTTTTAGGCTGAAAAAGAATATTGAACATGAGTCAGAGGTGTAACGAAGCCATCAACAAGGCCAATCGCACCTTGTCATGCGTTAGCAGATGCATGACCAACAGATAGAGAGAGGTGATGCTCCCCCTCTATGCAGCATTGGTCAGGCCACAGTTGGAGTATTGTATCCAGTGTTGGGCACCGCACTTCAAGAGGGACACAGAGAATCTGGAAAGGGTTCAGAGGAGGGCCACTTGCATGATTAGTGGCTTCCGTGAAAGACCCTACGGGGGGAGGTTGAGGGACCTGAATCTCTTCAGCCTTCACAAGAGATGTCTGAGGGGAGACCTTGTAGCCGCCTATAAGTTTATCAAGGGAGGACAACAGGGAATTGGAGATACGCTATTTACCAGAGCACCCCTAGGAGTAACTAGGAATAATGGGTGTAAACAAGTGGAGACTAGATTCAGGTTAGACATTAGGAAAAAAATTTTTACAGTAAGGGTGGCCAGAATCTGGAATGGGCTTCCAAGGGAGGTGGTGCTATCACCTAACTTGGAGGTCTTCAAGAAGAGGCTAGATAGTCATCTGGCCAGGGTCATCTGACCTTGGTCCTCTTTCCTGCCAGGGGCAGGAGATTGGACACAATGATCCTTTGTGGTCCCTTCTGACTTTACAATCTATGAATCTATGACTATATCTGAATGCCTGCAAAAAGATGCATTTCATTAGTTTCTTTGTAACAGTGTTTGCCAGAAAAGGTCTTGGAGTGGGGAGAGGAGACTTACCATCTATTTAAAAAAATAAGCCCATAGAATGACAGAAGATATGCTCAACTATTTACTGACTGGGTATTATAAACTGGCAAAAACACCGTACCTGATTTTTGTCAGAAAAAATAAATTTTAGAAAAGATGAAAAACACTTTCAAAATATTAAAATTAAATATTTAGATTGACCACCCTGGAAACCAAGTAAAATCCAAGTAGAAAAAGTTTCCTCTTCCTGTCATTTTATCAGGGCTAATCTAAGATATCAAGAGTCAAATTAATATTTGCAGAATTACATTAGGGATGGATTTTGCTTATATTTGGTGACTCAGGGCACTGTGACTCATGTAGGAATGAAGCATATAAACAGTGAACTTTAATAATCATATCCACTGTTCTGGTCCACTATGTACTAGACTAAATCTGTAACTTTGGGACAGATTTTTTTGTGGGCTGTCCTAAATTGTGTTAATGTTGATGGATCCTTAAAGCTATTAATTTAATGTTCCACTTGCATTTCATGGAGCTGTAACAGCACATTGTTTACTCTGAGCAGAGTATCAACCAGCTCACTAGCCCAGGTGGACATTTAGCCTCCATACAGCTGCACTCAACCATTCTCATCCAACCTGGCTAGATAACTAGGTATGCTGTAGCCCTAGCCACATAATTTTTTAAAGAGATGTAAAGGGAATTTTCCATTTGTCAGGATTAATCAATCAGATTGGGTTTTACACCCTCCCTATAGTACCTTGGAAATATGGCCAGTTAATTAGAACAGTGGAAAGGAAAAGAAAAAACTAAACAAAATCCCCTATAAAATATTGTGACTTGCAGACAGTATCCACCTAGTACAAACGGTGTAAGTGGACAACATGCTTTTGGTGTAGACACAAGCAAAGTATCCAAAAAGCTACTAGCACTAAGCCAGACTGGTTTGGTACAAGGTAGATCTTAAGTTTTGTGCAGTTAGAATCATTCTCATACATGCTATCATCCTGCACATGAACCAATAAGAGAATCATAGCATAGTGTAAATTGCTTTTTTGAGAGTGTTGGGAGGCAAGATTAAGTATTGTTTCCTTGACATTATGATGTAATAATACTGCAGTGAGAAATATAACAGTATAACAATGGCATACTGAGAAACCAAGGTAAATTATAATTTTTTTCAATGCCTCATCCTTTTCCACATATTTATTTACACTTCAATTAAAATAATAAAAAGACAAAAGCTCTGTATGCTGTAACAGCTAATTAGTATTACAATAAAATCCAAGCAGAATCCAAATAATCATCCAAGCAGAAAATCACAGATGTTAATTAAAGAAGCAGAATGTATATTTCAGATCATAATTAAAAGACATTACCTTGCTCTTGTATTTCTGATGCCCCAAACGGCACTTCACATAAGGATCACTCAACCCATTTGCATCCATGGCCTTGAGACAACGACCCTCTATCAAAGTGACACTGACTATCCCTCTCCATAGTTGAGATTTTCTGTGAAGGTCTGACAGACGTAAACTCTGGGTCTGAAACTTCAGGTAAAGGATAAACTAGATTTAGTTATAACAAGCACAGATATTTACTATTTGATCTATTATTCAATGTTTTATATAAATATAAAGGGGAAAAAACTTTTCAACTTACGACAAAAGGTTTCTTTAAAAATATGGACTGTGTTAACTCTATTCTAATACAAGATTTTCTTCCCCATTTAACATGGGGAAAAATGCCCCTCATCTTAGAATCACATATCAGGGTATGGGGAAGCAGGCAGTTGCTGTGGCTTTGGCTCCAGCCCCTACCTGGGGTCTGACCAGGAATGCAGCTACCCCCACTGCCTCTGCACCCTGCCACCCCCCACACCCACCAGCCTCTGATCCCCACCTGCCCCTCTCCCTTCCTCCTTTACCCTTGTTCTGTGCTGACAGACTCCATCCACACTGCAGTCTCTGGGACACTGTGCCCAACCCCAGCCCAGCCACATAGCAGCAATGTGGCTGCTCCAGGTGCTGGGCTGGGCTGGGCCCTTGCTCTGTGCCCCGGGCTAGAATGGGGATGGCATAGAACAAGAGTAAGGGGGACATGGGAGGGGGAAGCACAGCAGGAAGCAACTTTCTGAATAGTATTTTAAATTGGTTTTATTTCACAATATTTAAAAAAGGACACCCAATAGTCAATAACTGCTTACAGTTTTCTAATCTTACTCTCACTACATCAAAGTACTTCAGAGACAAGAACATTATTCACAAGTCTTTAACAGGATGACACAATTTAAACAATTTCATAATCAAAATTACTCTAAATTATAATGCCTGTTACAAATTAAATTCATGTTGACGAAATTCTGTAAGTCATCCTTCTCCTAGCCTTCCACAAACCATGTTTTTAAAGAGAGTCTCTTATAAATTCAACACAAAAAAATCAATGTTTTACTTGCAGGGTATGTATACTAACAAGACATTGGTTTATTTCATAAAGCAAAAGCAATTTTAAAAATAGTATGTTTATTTTGTTTAATTGTATTAAATAATTTCCCCTTATATCTAAATGATTAATGGTAGGAGTTTCCTTCTTTTTCAATTTATACATTCCACCAATATGACCATAAATTGAAGGCAGATTCCCATTCCATTTGTAATGCATGTGATAGCTGGTGATGGATAAATATCTCATTAGCTGGATCTTTTAGACCAACTTTGGAATGGGCTTCCAAGGGAGGTGGTGCTCTCCCCTACCCTGGGGGTCCTCAAGAGGAGGTTGGATGGGCATCTGGCTG